AAAATCCTTAGCTACTGGTGGTCGGTAAGAAGTTATCGCTATAATCAGCAGGCATGTAAATTCTGATGGTTGGAAACTGTATGGCAAACAATGCATTAAAACGCAAACTGATGGTTTTATCTGCATTTGAAACTTATGTTAGTCACATGAAAAAGATGCCCTTCAAAGGAAATAATCAACGGTCAGAAGCGTCGTTTAGTGTAAGTACATGTTCTGCAAAAGATCTCTAAATATATGGTGTGGGTAAATTCTGATTTCTTGAGATAATCTGAACGAGTCTCAATGCAAAAAACAGACTAAGAGGGATAAGCGTTGTATGACAAACATATTTTTCCGTACTCAGGGTTGATAGAAGGTGTCATATAAAATTACCCCCCATTGTCTGGAAGATGTTATTGAAAAATTGTTAGTCGTAGTCACGGTTATCAACAACCAAAGAATCAAGCGTCAGCTGGTTCAGGTTAAATGAAAGATCTTCACCAAAAACGGATAATGAAGTGACACCGTCTGTATAAAGCGCTGTTTGTTTTGTTTTTATAATCAATAGCCTCCATATTTTAATAATAGATGATTGAAAAACTTTTAGTCTTAGCCCAGCAATCAAGTGTAACGTAGAACAAGATTGCAAATGCTTTTTGTTGCCGTCGCTTTATGTGTTGACCTGAATGTTCCAAATTGTATTATCTATTTCCATCGTCAAAGTACTAGGTACAATAATCGTCCTTTCTAAGTTCTTTGCTTTTTTTAGCTCGTATCTTTATCTAATTTTACAATTTTCCAACATCAAACATTTTAATCTAATACAAGTATTCCGCAATAATACTTATTAAACTTATTATTATGCTCAGCTCTTACTATTTAACAGCATATACGTACTAATTCTGTAAAGATTAATTACTATATATACTACAATAATCTACTAGATAACTGTGAAAGCAGAGGTGGTTTGCCTGTTCTGCTTCAGTTTCTTAATCAGAACTTGGTTTATCTTCAATGGTGGTTTAATCACCAATGACCTGTCAGGTTCTGGATTTATATAAATGGTTGTCATCTGGAAGATATAGAGACATTCGTTTCGATGATGCTAGAACAGTCCGCGTCCATGCATTTTACACAGTGGGCACGTTTTGATATGAGTGTGCCGTTGGTGTGTTAGTACGGCTCACTGTGCGTTCTTTGTTTCTTGTTGCAGAGAGAGCGACGGAAGGCAGTAAATTTAGAGGATGGGAATCGGCAAAAAAATGAGGATTTGTTTGAGGTCGAAAAATTGAGATGTTTTAGGTTTAGGGTTATCCAGTATTTTAAAACGCAACGTACGTGGTACCATATCGTTGTCTTACTTCTCAAAAAGAACGGAACAGAAAGTCGGTGAAAAATAAACTTTACCATACAACATTGATAATATTTTTGTTGGATGTATCCATTTGCAGCAATACCTTCGCCATTATGTGAAATTTTTTTTGCCGTACAAATTGAAATTCAAAGTCATCATCAAAAAATCTGTAAAACGCTGATACAAGTTTTCGTTAAAATCGATAAATCGTGCCCATGTCGATTGAAAACCGCAACCAGATATTTCCATGGGAATAGAGCCTATTTACTGTCTTTAGTTCACAATGCAATACCAACCTTCTTGCTTTAACTTATATCATAATTTATCCTCCTATATTTTGTCTGACTAAAGCTATGTTGAAAATTTTACCACTTTTTAATATTCAAACTTTTGTAAGTCAGTCGCCCTCCCCCTTGCCTCTATGTTGTATGCCTTTAATTGACATTCAAATAATTCAAACTTTTACTTCTTACAGGTTTAACTTCTTACAATTGTTTTGTGAAATCACTGGGTACTATTATTGGTTATTCGTCCTACAATTAACTCCAATTGTGTTAAATTTTGGACAGCCGTATGTCTGTGTAATGTATAGAAATGAGGAAAAATGGCTTTCTTGCACTATCTACTATCTAATGAGCAAATGCTCAGAACTCATTAAGTTGTGGTTTTGCCAGTTTCCCTGACCATGTCAATGATTTTCAAAATTTTTTTTTAACTTTAAAATGAACTTAATTTCTCCCATTTTACCCTATGGGGTTACAGCAACAAAACGTAAGTATTATCAAGGGCGTACGGGCTGGGGGCACAGGGGCATAGGCCACCCAAAGTTTAGCCATTCGGGCATTTAGTTTAACACCATGTGTCGCTAGGGCGATTTATAAAAGGCTAAAAATTGAATCAAATTATATGGGCACCAGGAAAGAAATTAATTGACATTTAAAATTACTTGCGTTATATGAAGTTCAAATGTAACTTATTTGAAACGCGTGCCGGCTCATATAAAAATATAATTTTAATGCGTTGTTAAACTACCAAAGTTGATATTTATCTTGCTTTTTGATGATTCGGAAGCATAAAGACGAAATGTTACAAGGTTTTGGGTTTTGGGAATACTCGATACATGCCTTGTTTGATTTTAAGTTAAGCTACTAGACGTAAACTGTGCTAAAACGGCCGGTATTCTAAAAAAAAAATTGCATATTCTCCTGTACAGAAATACTATTCTTATTATCTTCTACTGAAAAGTTTGTAAACTGCGCATCCGAGATCAATAGCGACTTTCGCACTATATTTCCGTTAAAAAAACGTAATTTTTCAAAATCTTCGCGCATACGCGCAGTTTTAACAAAAATCACGATATTTTCGTTACAATATCGTATTTTCTCAAAAGTTGCGCGCTTTAGAAAAAATTGCGCACCTGAAATCTCGGGTGCGTACACTAAATCTTCCAGTCTGTTGTGTATCATTACTTCTTTTTATAACTAAATATCAAACAAGTCTATCTTTTTTATTTATTTCATTTTCTAATAGCACACAGATATCGAGCAAAAAGGTGTGGTGCCCTCCCAAACAAGAGAAGTGCTGGCCTGTATGCCCATAGATTCTTAGTAAATACACGTTGTGGCAATCAAATTTAAATATAAATAATCTGAATCTAACCAATATAGTTTTATGGCAAATCTCTTTTTCTTATAAAACTTAGTTAGTTTCCACCGGCCATTTAAATGTGAATTTAAACATTTATAAATGGAATACAATAGAGATGTTTCTGTATAAGGAAATTTCATGAAACGTGTTATTTTATTTTAGGGCGCAAATGTTACATAAGAGCAGAAAAATCGTTTATTTTTTTCTTTAAAAACAATGATGGTCTCCACCATTTAAATCCAGTTGTCAGGCCAGATTCTGCAATAACCGCGAAAATTTACTATGGACCAGTATTTGGAGGTGGTCATGATCTACATCGCCAACAATGCCAACTCTAATTCTTTGTCATACACACAATACTTTGGACATTCTACAAGCTCCAAATGGTTATACTTACGAAAGCAATGCGACACAAACTTGTTGTAGGCACCCCTAACTTCACACCAGATGAAGTGGAGGTGTTTTATTTTTCTTCGTAAAGAAACTAAACAAGAAAGAATAAATCGCATGAAGACAAATAGAATTTTCAGAATTTTCAGCTTTATCAGAGCAAATTAACAGTAGCTTTTTGCTTATGGAAGTCGCATACTGTGTAAAATATTTTGTGTAGCAATTTTAATGTAATATCATGTAAATTTGAACGTGTAATTATGGATTATTTAGAGTTTAATTTTGAACGACCTCAGCATCAAGTGCATGTATTCCAGTGCTTCTCCAGTCAAAACGTCATGATTGTGAAGCTTGTTTTTGGTTTCTTTGCATGGAAATTGTCTGGCGTTCATGGAAATCGTAATCATTGTAAAAACTGTAATATACCTACCTATAGGAGCTGTTCTTCCACTAAATATTATGCAGGAAAATTTATTGTTGTTTTAAAGAAATATTTAGCACTATTGGACTCATTTGGATGTTCTTCACGTTCCTGCAAAGCTAGGTTTGTTTAATTGATCTTATTCTTTTTATTAGTTTTATAACTAATTCATTTTGTTAAAACCACAAAAGCTACAGTGAAAACAACGACATAATAAACGACGATACATTGAAGCTAATCACATAATAACTTTTTAGCTTAAAGTAGGAAAAAGGCTTTGGAAGTTACATGTGTTTTATATATTTCAATTTCTAAGCTCAATTTTCCTACTGTTGATTTGTTGAGAGTCACGTGAGTTGCGTGAGTCACGTAAGAGTGAAGAAATTGAACTGTTTCCTGGCAAGTAATTCGAAAATAAAAGAACACGTCATCTACTGGTAAAATTTGGTCAGCATCAGATCTCTGTCAAAAAAATTGCGGGAATTTTTTTAAATTTTTTTGTAGCTACAGTTAATTTCACATATTCTTTTGTGGAAGTATTTTGTTGATTTACTTTGTTAACAGTTCTTTCTTTGAAAATTAGTATATAACAAATTATTTATTGATTGAAATCTCGAAAAATAATGTTTTGTGTTTAGCTACTTCTGTTCATCCAAACTGCACCGTAGTTTCGCGAAGTGAACTTAGTCATTAAGTGAAAAATATGAATCAACTAAATGCTCTGGAACTTATTTTCGTTGTTAAAAATATTCATTTTAACATTTCAACATTGTAGCCAAGTTAGGATTGAAACCATTTATTATACACCTAAAAAGACAGAGTAACAATCGTAAACGTATCGCATAAAATGTCTCAAAATGTCAGCATATTTCTCAAAGCGAATAACCATGTTACAGATTTTAATATTTCAATGCCAGTTTAAAGTCACAAACAATGTACTTTTATGGCTTCGCAGTTTCTTGCGTTGAAAATGTTAATGTTTGGAAAAGAATGTCTTTTCTGTGTGAATGTCTTACAGCAAATCCTCTCCGTCAACTAGCATCATGCCATTTTAAGGTTCTGGAAAGAAAGGTCTTTATCAATAATAATATGTGCTTTTTCAGCAGCTAAAATACTTGCAAATGTCATTATCATTAGAAATTACCGGAAAACCATCCTGAATATTGTCTAATAAAATGTACACGAACTATAGTATACGAACGTCAATCTTACATAAAATGAAAATCGCTTCTTCGTCAAGCACTTTCAAATCTGCGAGAACACATGATGTAAAACGTTATAAAAGAATAGTCTCTGTAAAGTATGTATCAAAAGTCGCATCTCTCTTGAAGTAAGTGATTATTTTGATTTAAAGCAGTAAAGCTTAAAAGAATATTAATATAAATAATTATGCACTTGCATTTTCTTATGATTTCATGGTGAGATTGTCTTCTGGATGAATTTTTGATTTACTAGCTATTTCATGGGAGTACATAGAGGATAGACTTTTTTTCTGTCTTTAAAGAGGGATTATTATATGGAGGTATGGGGTGGGTAGTTAAAGTGACCGGCGGTCTAAAGGAAATATGGTGTAAGTATTGAAACTTTCCATTTCATTAGTACAAAGTGTTACAGAATCATAAAAATTACATAATGAACTCCTCTTCTAATTTTATAACTCAAATTAAAATCCTTAGTTTAAGCTGTATTGCAATCAAAAATTGTTCTTATTCTTCACTTATTAAAAAAAACTTGATAATATATGCTATAATGCTTCTAATTCTTTCCATAATTCACACTATTCTTAAAGAGTAAATGATTTAAAATTCTCTGCTTGAATAAAATCCCACTACACCTTTTTCAGTCTATTGCTTCCTTTATGCTCATTTTAATTCTGCAAATGCAAAAAACTCAGGTGCTTTACTCTCAAATGGAGAGAAGATAAATAAAGACACTGGACTTGGTTTTCTATACTAAATTCAATCTAACAGAGAGGATTGACACATGAAAAAAGGGGATTTCAAGTGGCAAATCTATAAAGAGCTAAGAGGTTTCTATACTATATTCAACCTAACAGAGAGGATTGATTCATGAAAAAAGGGGATTTAAAGTGGCAAATCTATAAAGAGCTAAGAGGTTTCTATACTATACTCAAGCTAAGAGAGAGGATTGACACATGAAAAAAGAGAAAGTAAAGCGGTAAATCTATAAAGAAGTAAGAGGTGAAACGACATTAATAGG